TGATGTCCCCTTGAGTTGACTAGGCGCCTGCCTAGCAGCCAACTGTTTCCCTTTGCCTTTTCCAGCAAACTTCATGTCTTTCAAGGACGTGGAACTATCAGTTCCTTTCGTCTCAGCAATCTTGGCCCTCTTGGCCTTACTTGAGTTGCAGAAGTCCTCGATGTCTCGACACTGCTGCACCAGTGTCCCAAAGTCTCTCAAAGCAGAACCAGCAAGGTAACCAGCAATATCCTCACTAAGTCCCCTGCGGAACTTAGCAGCCAAGAAATGTAGGAGTAGGCCTCGCCATCCTGAAGTGTGCAAACTTCACCAACTGGTTGAACTTGGCCAGGTACTCGTTCACAGACAACGAGCCCTGAACCAATCTGTCAAACTCTCCCTGCTACCTCTCCTGAGCGTCATATGGAAAGTACTGACCCAAGAAGAAATCCTCGAACATAGGCCAAGTCATCACATGACCCTGCATCTCGTAGACATGAGAAAGGTTTGTCCACCACTCATGGGCATCGCCCTCCAGCATGTAAGTAGCGAACATCAACTTCTGCGGATCTGTGCACTGCATGACCCGAAATATCTTGTCCAACGCCTGAAGCCAACGTGCCGCAGCAACAGGATCAAAGGATCCATCAAAGGCAGGTGGCTTATGCTTACGGAAAGCATTCAGCCGGCGATCGATCTCATCTCGATCCTCAACAAGAACAGGGACGGTCTGCATGGCCCCCGTAAGGTGACTGCCATCTCCCATCTGACTCTGAGAGTCATCCTGCAGACTGGGTGGAGGTGGTGGTGGTGGCGGCGGTGGAGCATGACCAACATCAGGGCCATTCCTCACCTCCTCCAACATGACTCTAAACATCGTCATGTTCGCCAGACGGTTGGCCTCCAACACGTCCTCAGTGGCCTTCCTGTTCGCCTCTCTGACGGCGTCCAGCATGGCCTGGTTTGCCATTCTCATGGCCTCCTGGTCGGCTAGTCGGGCCGCCTGCATCTCAGCCAATGCAGCCAGGACAGGATCGGGCCGATCCTCCGAAGTCTCGCGGTTTCTCCCGGGTCTTACCATGACTCTGCACAAGTTACACAAATTATGAGTTGATCAGGCCCACACAATATGGTCATATATGCATTATCATAATAATACTCGACGGAGCAAACACACAAAACAGACACAACCAAACATCCTAATCATTGCAATACATACAGGCTTTTCCCTTGAACCGTTGCTCTGATACCATAAAATGTAACACCACGTGTATACCCGGAATATTAACATTACATCGTATTAAGCGGTGCTTAATTAAAAATTACGGAATATCTTTTTCTTTTCTAATTATGACGTCATATACTTAGCCAAATTGATTACTTAACCAATTTCATAAAAACATCGCCTGTATGTAAATTGCAATAAGACATCTACTGATATACCTCAATATATAAATAAAGTGTGTGTCTAAAATCACATATCTACAACTCGTAGTCCGAACCATAATCCTGATACATTATTACAACTTCAAATAAAACAAGACATAAACAAGACTATGTGTCATGGACAATTCCCATGCTCACCAAATCAACAGCGTCTCAACAAGATGATATACAATCATAAACTGAAGCTAAAAGCATAAAGAAGCATGCATAACCAGCATCCAACAAGTCAGCATAATATAACAGGAATATCTAACTCAGCTCCGGCCTCCTGCTGCCTGAGGTCTCGACCTTACCTGAACCTGAAATAAGCGCCCCAAACGTGGGGTGAGATCTCTAACAGAAATCTCAGTAAGGCAAGGGGTCCTTAAGGATCTTCCACCCCAAGCTCACTTACATGTGCAATATAAGTTCAAAAGCAATTTAACAAAATAATTTCCAAAATAGTGCAATGCAGCAGATAATCATGTCATGTGGGTTATAACTATTCTACTGATCAGAGAAATGCGGGAATACGTCTATTACCCACACAGTACCAGCCCATACTGTATCAGCCCATGCTGTACCCACCCCCAAAGGGCCACCCCATGGTTTCCCTTTAAGGCAAACACCACATAAATATCATACAGCAATTCCACTTAACAGCTCCATAGCATTTCAATAAAATAGTACATGAAAACACATCATGCATATAACCATCCCCCTATGGGAAATGGTGGAACCAACAATGGCTAAACCGAGGACACAAAAGCTTACCTTGCAAGCTCACTATCCAATGCCAAGAGTCCACACGGCTCAAGTCCAACACACAGCAGATCAAAATCTGATATGGACCAACAATTATATCAATATTCACATTCTAATATTTTACCATGATAAACTAGACATCTTGAGGTTTCCACCGATATACTTCATGTCTTAATCGGAGTTGTATAACTCCGGTTATGATTTACGCAAGGTGACTGCTGCAAACAGAATTTCCAGCAACCAAAACGCAACTTAGAATAGACACTGCGATCAAACCACTAATCCAATGGCTACGAAAATTTACAGAGATGTAGCCCTATATGTTAGCTTCATATAGGTCCAGACAGCACTCAATTTGGAGCTCTGTAGCCCAAGATATCAAATTTTTACTAAAATATGTTTGTTACTGTCCACACCAAAATCTCGGGATATCTCTAACTGAATATCGGGATATCTGATATCCGGATATTCACAACCAAATATCGGGATATCACATATCCGGATATTTACAACCAAATATCCGGATATTTCGCATCAGAATGTAGATTTTGCATTTCGCGAGATATCAATCCAAAGGATCCATTTTTAACACTTAAACACGTTAAAGCATGCATTTTTAGGCACATTAAGGTTCATACAACTGATGGTTACTTGCTTAACTCATTAAACATGCCAAGACATCAACTTTAACCCATTAAACTCATGATCAAAGGTTAGACAACTCACCCAAAGCTCAACCAGCCAACAAAGGGTGCTCTTGGAGCTCACAAGACAACTCCAAGGTTCTGACTTCTTCAAGAAACGAAAATGAACCAACAAGATGAGTTCTTTCTCCTCAAAGGTCACTACAAGAACCTCACAAAGCAAGCACCAACCTCCCACAACCTCAACTAGCAAGTCAGCCCTTACACAACACTCAAAGAGGCAAACTCAGAAAAGAAACACCCTTCCCACACCTTCACAAGACTCAAACTCACAAGGCTAAGGTGTTTAGAAGGATCAAGAGTGGAGAAAGGTGATTACTTGGGCTTTTTCTTCAAGAAAATGGAGGTGACAAGCTAAGGAGAGCCAAACTCAGAAATGGAGGCACCAAAGGTCACGTAGGAAAATGTGAAATCTGACCTAGGATCATCTGCCCATCACTTATATAGCCACATAAGCATAAAACACGCAGTATTAGCTTTAATTGCTACGCTTAGCATTTTAATCCCAAACTTAGGATTCTTAACCTACTCAATTTTACAAGATTTATAATATTTTTCTGAGCACCTTTCCGGTACGCGCTTTTCATAGCCAGTATCAGATTCTGGCACCAGTTCTCATTATTTGGACTTGAAACTCGTTTTGAAAGTCCTATATATTATTCTAGTAATTATCATGCACTTACTTGAATTTTCCGGGATACTTTTTCGGTACACATTTATACCGACTAGCAGAATCGGTATCTGCACTTTTCTTCCGAAAAGCGGCTTTCAGCATTCTTAATCACTTACCATAATTATTAGAGCCTCATAATAATTATTAGGGTCAATTATGGAATCATTTCCTATTTTCTCATAATTAATTAATTAAATTCCTTAACTAACGGTGCAGATTCTTACACCCTCACACACACTCGACAAAACCCTGCCCTTTCTTGATTTGGAAGAACTCGAATGAACAAAGAGAGAGATAAAAGCACAATCTGAATAATGCATCAAATCTGAATGTTTCCACACACTGACGTCGTTCACATTTTTGATATGTATACCACCATTAAAAGAACGCAGCGTTTTAATTTTTGTTGACATATTACTGCCAAATGTGAATAATAAAGCAAAACCGTTTTGGGCCCCAAAATAATAATGCCATATTCATTTTTGGGCCCACATGGCTTAAACAAATATTATAACAAGTTCCCGTATATGTACATAACAGATTCAACGATGGTATAAATTCAACAATGAATATATCATATATAAACAACATGATATTACAAATTTAGGAAATACTCATAACAAAATATTTCCTGCATATAAACATTTTTCACAAACTTTACAGACATGGTGGTATTGAGTTAATTATCAAATTAATTTAATTACTGTACTCATCATGGTGGTACATAGATGTCTCCCATGAAGGGTGAAATATGTTGATATAGGGGTGTCCACAGTGGCAATGGTAGAAATCAAGCACTAGTGAAACTTCCCATGGTGCATAAGGAGGGTGTGTATGGCAAGGGTGGCTCTACCAAATGGGCAGAGTGACAGCATAGTCAAGAGTGGGGAAGAAGATCCCCCTCCATGTGTGAGGGGGTATTTAGAAAAGAGAGTCCTCTTTTGGGGAGATCGCTGGTCCTCCCTCTGCTGTCTCCAAGCCATGTCTTGTCCTTAGACAAGACATGCTGCTCCTGTCAGTGTACAAGGGCAGCTGTGCAGGAAGGAGAATACTCCAGTGGTGAGTCTCTATGACTTGCCATGGGTACCCTCTAAAATGTTCTAGATGTGGGCTTTAAAGATTAGACCCAACTGGTGGGCCTGAGGTGTGAATCTGGAACAATTACTTATCTTTTAGCAAATAACCATAAATCTAAATCACCAATTTATGACTATTTTTTCAAAACACATTAATTAAAATATTATTTACAAGTTGTCTTTGTTAAAATTTCTTAAGTAAATAGTCATTTTTTGTTTTGTTTGGAATAACAGGACTATTTTACTATATTTATTCATTCAAAATAAACTGAAAATGTGTCGGCCATTCCAACTATGCAAAACTATTTTATATATTATTTTAATATTTTTTATTTCCATTAAATAAATAATAGTATATAGCAGTTGCAGTAGAAAATGTGAACTGGGAACAAAGGAAAGCAAAGAATCGAAATGGAAAAGCAAGATGGAAACAGAGTGGTGATCCTAGGAGGCGGTGTTGCTGGTTCTCTCGTTGCTAAATCTCTTCAATTCCATGCCCATGTCACTCTCATTGATCCGTAAAAGCTTCTCTTTCTTTTCCTATCTTCAATTTTTTTTTTTTTTTTATCAAATAAAAAAGATTCCCCCTTGTTTAATTATGCTAAAGATGAGATTTTTAATTCGAATTTTGCTCATTGCAGCACCCCTTTTTTGTTTTTAATCGGTAGGGCTATTGGGTTGAAGATTATGCTGTATTTGATTTTCTACCCTCGTGTAAATTTGGAATTTTTATCGCTTTTCGGAACTTCCCAGATTTTCAGGTTTCAATTTTGAGGTTGAGAAGTGTGTTTTTGGAAGTGTTTGTGGTTTAATATTCTGTTGATGATTGAGGTGGTGATTTAGAAAACATTGCATTGATGATTGAAGTATTTAGCTTTCCATGCACATGGTTGTTGTTGTCAACTTGTCATTGTGTGTATGTCTTTCTTCTGATTGAGTGCAATTGAAATCCAGGAAAGAATATTTTGAGATTCCTTGGGCAAGCTTGAGGGCAATGGTTGAGCCATCCTTTGCAGAGAGGTCGGTGATCAACCATAGAGATTACCTCACCAATGGTGACATTGTTGTATCCAGTGTTGTCAATTTGACCGAAACCGAAGTGTTGACCGCAGATGGCCGTCGGATTGTCTATGACTATCTTGTTATTGCCACTGGCCATGCAAATAATGTCCCCAAAAGTAGGAGTGAAAGACTTAATCAGTACAGAGAAGGTGAATTTGAACGCATATCTTCACCAAGAAGGGGAACAAAAAGATTTATGAATTTAAACTGATGCAGAATATGTAGTTAATCTACATCTATAGTAAAGATTGCATTTCAATGTTTCTGATATTATAATTTTTAAAGCTAATCTTTGAGGAGAGTAGGTTATTGCTATTGGATTCATGTAGGCCTAATTATTGCAATTGGCTGCAAGGCCTTTCTCACATTACATGAAACAAAGCGTTGTATGGTTTGAGTATTCAATGAAAAATCAAAGGAGCATGGAGCTCTTGTAGGGCCATGGAAGAAATATTAGAACACAAAAATAACTGATTGAATTCCAAGTACATTGCTATTTATATCATTGGTCTTGTTTAGAGCAATATGGGATTATTTTGTGTTATTGTTTTCGTTTCAATCATATCATGCATTGACATTGCTCATTTTAGTCTTTAGCATAATGTTTTTGTGAGTGCTTTTATGGAGTAGGTTCAGCCTTGTAATGAATTGTCATAGTCAGCACTTGAGTTATGAAGTTCATTTTCCCTGGCAGAAAATCAAAAGATAAAATCTGCTCACTCCATTCTGATTGTTGGAGGAGGTCCTACTGGTGTGGAACTTGCTGGAGAGATAGCTGTTGATTACCCAGATAAGAAGGTTACTATAGTGCACAAAGGATCAAGGCTGCTCGAATTCATAGGGGAAAAAGCTTCTGAGAAGTCTCTAAAATGGTTGAGATCAAAGAATGTTGAGGTGAAACTAGAGCAATCAGTTGATTTGAACGCTGCCACAGACGGATGTAAGATATATCAAACTTCACTTGGAGAGACCATCGAGGCAGACTGTCATTTCTTATGCACAGGGAAACCGCTTGCTTCAGCTTGGCTAAAAGATACTGTGTTGAAGAATGACTTGGATTTTCATGGAAGGATTGTGGTGGACGAAAAATTGAGAGTCAAGGGTCGGGGCAACATTTTTGCCGTTGGAGATATTACAGACATTCCAGTAAGTGCTTACTGTTAGTAACTTATTCAGCTTTTCATGATAGTATAATTTTATAGGTATTCACACTCTTTTATAACAAACTCATCTAGTTACTCAGTCTTGTGCTGTTCCCTTGATATTCTGTTCGTTTCACTTGAACTAGGCTGATAGGTCATGCTTTATTGCCTGAATTTTGGGCAGGGTTGAGTTTCTACTTACTAGTAGTGAAAATATTGATGTAAAATGAATGAGATTATTGCTTGTACTAATTGCTGCTAAAAAGGAAAAAACTAACTTGGCTTTGTACTGGAGGCTTTACGACCTATCTATATCTTTCATTATTGTTCTTTGGACCTATTCAGTGACTTTGTTGTGGAAGAAAAGTGTTCAAATTCCTTGAATTTAGAGACTCGAGTTAATGTGTGATATCAAATTTTAAAAGTGGAATACATGCATAATTTCCTTCAGATTTATGTGATTGTGTTATTTAGGCTGTTTATATACCAGCCTCTTTGATTTTGTCCCATATAAATTGGTTCTACACTATAAATCTATGGCATATTAATTTCTTTATAAGATGCCTGATAGGAGGTTTTTTAATGGAAATATACACAACAGGAGATCAAGCAAGGGTTTTTGGCACAGAAGCAGGCTGAAGTGGTTGCAAAGAACTTGAGGGTGATCATAGAGGGAAGAAAAGAATGTGGAATGGAAACTTACAAGCCACATTCAGTATTGGCAATAGTTTCACTTGGGAGGAAAGATGCGGTGGCACATTTCCCATTCTTGACAACTATTGGAAGAATTCCTGGCATCATCAAATCTGGAGATTTATTTGTTGGTAAAACAAGAAAACAAATAGGACTCAACCCTTAAGTTTTACAAGCTTGACTCGATACTATGCGTGGTGTGGATTCAAAATCAATCGGTTTCATAGTTTGTATCAATGTTATTAAACCCAACCAAGCATCGACTTGATCAGGATATTGGGTCACCGGTAGGATTGGGATTGGTGGGTTGGACCGATTGACTCAGATATATATATATATATATATATATATATTCTTCTTTATAAGCTATTTTTTTAGTAAGTTATAAACTATTTACTCAACTAATCATATTATTCTTCTAAGATGATATACAAATAAAAGTAGCATATTGTTGAGAGGTATAATTAAGAGTAAATATCATTTTTGGTTCTTAACAAAAAAATACGGTCCCCAATTTAGTCCCTCACAAAAATAAATTAGTCAGTTAGTCCCTAACAAATTTAAAGTAGACCCATTTAGTTGAAATCGTGATCCCTCACAAATTCAAAAAAGACTCATATTAGTCCCTCAAAAGGACTAAAATGGGTCCACTTTGAATTTGTTAGGGACTAACTGACTAATTTATTTTTGTAAAGGACTAAAGTGGAGACCGTGTTTTTTGTTAGGGACCAAAAAAAGTGTTTACTCTAAAATTAAACTATATTTGCAACTAGTTTGGAGTTCAAGGATTGATTCTATATAATCAATTTAAAATTTTATTATTTTGTTAGTATCATGATTGATTTAATATATTTTCTTTTCTTGTTAGATATTTGATTTTAACATGTACTGTCATCGGAACTCGTTTTGACCTGGCCGGGGAGGTTCAAGTTTAATCACACTGTTTTGTATGCGATAATAATAGGAAAAAGTATTTCTCAAAATAATGTCGTTTTGGGAGTTATAAGATTAAAAAATTATTATGATAAAGATTAATATAATTCTGCGATATATTAGAATTACAAAAATACATTGCTTTTTGTCCCACAACGATGTCGTTTTAGGCTCAATGGAGATAATTTATCTTCATTAGCTGGAGAAATCTTTTACCAAATATCAACTTAGCAAGGAAACATGAGAACACTCATTCTACTTGGGGTGTGCATGACAACTTTTTCGGAATCAACTTTTTCTAAATTTTTGTTCCTGGGAACATAAATGGATAGAAAACTCGTTTGGTAAAATCAGTTTTTTTTTCTCGGGATGAACCTGTTTATTTTTTGTGGAGGGGAACAGAAAAAAAAATCAAAAAATTTATGCCTTTTTTTTCCCGGGCACAAAATGAGAAACACTTGTCTCTCTCAATCACTCTTCACCTCTACCATCATCACCGCCACCACCATCATCCCGACACGACCGTCGCCAACACCACTGTCGCCACCACCATCACCATCACCGCCACCATCACCACCACCGCCGCAGCCCCTGCCATTACCATCGCCACCATGCCACCACCACTATTGTCGCCACCACCATTGCCACCACTACCACCATCGCTACCATCGCCACCACTACCCCCATCGCTACCATCATCACCACCACCACCATCGTCGCAACCACTGTTGTCACTTCCACCACCGTAACCACTGTCGTCACCACCACCACCATGTCATCACCACTACCATCACCGTGCCACCACCATCGCCACCATACCGCCATCACCACCACCACTAGGGTTGGCAAAAGCGAGCCAATCCGTCGGGTTAGCTCGTAACCCGCCAAAAATGAGTCGAGTTGGGTTGACAAAAATGAGCTGCCAACCTGACCCGAGCCAGCTCGGGAAAAAAGAAGCCAACCCGCAGGTCAAACGGGCCAGCTCGCGGGTTGAGTTTTTTTTTTACAAAAATACAAAATATAATATATAAAAATGGACAAAATCCACACATGCTATCATCATCTTTCTTCCTTCTCTAAACCTAAGTCCCTAATCTTCTCACATCCCTGCCATTTTTATATTGTTAGGCTGTGTTGGCTCTGTTTGGTTCAAATATATTACCCACTTGGTAGCAAGTGGTTCTGATTGTTTCTTGATGTTGGTGCAAATTTGTTGTGAAGAAAATTCGAAACTAGAATATTTTGCTGTTATTTCTCATTTTGTAACCCTTTGTTTAAGCTGATGGAAGCCACATAGCTAGTGCATTAATATCACAGGTTCATTTAAATAGGCTGAAAAGGAGCCAACCTGCGAGCAATTTTCGAGCCAAATCGCGAGCTATTTTTTCAAGCCAACCCACGAGCCATATTTTTGAGCCAATCCTAACCCGACTCGGATCGAGTTGGGTTGGGTTTTCTGTCTCGTTTTTTTTCAAGCCAACCCTAACCCGGCTCGATTTTTTCGGGTTGCATGCAGGTTGGGCCGGGTCGAGCCGGGTTGGCCTGTTTTGCCAATCCTAACTACCACTGCCGTCGCCACCACCACTGTGCCACCACAATCGTCACCATTACCACCGCTGCCGTCACCACCGTCATGATGCCATCACCACAACTACCACGCCGCCACCACTGTCGCCGCCACCACCATATAGAAAGGAAAGTAATGAACCGGTTTATTTTTTTTATGTTTAATAGAAATTATTTTGTATTATATTATTTATTGTGTTATCAAATGCAATTCTCATTCTCGGAATAAAAATAGAACATGTTATCAAACACATTTTTTTTCTCAGAAACTATTCCAAGGCACAGAAATAAAAAAGAATTGTTTCTTTTCAGAAATAATATTAGAGAATAAAATAATTATCATATACACCCTTACTTGCTGGAGCGAGCAAGCCAGCAATAGGCTTGGAAAATTGCACGTCTCTAATTTTCTCATTGTACTTGCTTGTTGGAGTGAGCAAGCCCGTGAGCCTTGCTTAGCTTGAATTTCATCTTTCTTTGATTTTTTTGATCCATGAATGCTTGGAACAGTGACCAAAGTGTCACTGTTCTCCATCTTATTTCCTTAAATGTCACGTCAACAGTGTTATTTCCCAATCTGCCACGGGGGCAAGTTCGCTACACAGTATAGCGAACTCGGTGTGCTGATATGTCACATTTCTAGTGGACACCAAGGTCGCTGGTGTCAGTAGCAAACTCTGGAGCAATTAATGCTGACACAAAGAATAAGTTTGCTGCATGTGGCAGCGAACTAGGTGTGACTGGTGTGTCACATACACATAGTTTGCTAAGAGGGATGGCGAACTATGTGCCTTTCAGAATTTTTATTTTGTTGCACGAATTTCGAGAAAAACAATTATATTTCACATTAAATCATGCTATTCTTTGATATGTGTGCAACTTTCGTTTGTGTGCTTGAAATCTGATCATTACTAATAAAATTATTTATTAGTTCGACTCAATTCACGCCATTATGGATTTGTTGCATATACTGGTTACGTTGTTTTCGGCTTTTGCGCATAAGATGAATTGTTGGGACAGTGACCAGAAGAATTTTGCATGATATCTTATTCATAACAAACAAATAAATAAAATATCAACTTAAATAATAATGCAGCATGAATATTATTCCTGAATGTACTAGTCAATTTTAAAATATTATCTGGCCAATATATTTATTGACCAACAATAATATTCTTTACAAAATATACAAAATTGAAACACAGGCTGCATATATTTTTCATGTATTAAAAAATAAAATCAAAATCCAAAACAAAAATAAACCAAAAAATAGCATAATAAATTCATGCATGTAAAAATCAGCACCCAAATAATATTAATGTATAATATAAAATAATTCAACAAAGTGGTTGATACACGTATGTTCTGCGGTGACCACTGTAACTATTGCGGCATTGCTGCCATAGCCTTTGACGTTGCGTCTTCGCCTTGCCCGCTATATAGCCTATTTTCCTACCTGCAACGAAAGTTGCACACATAATCAAAGAATAGCATGATTCAACGAGAATTATAATTGTTTTTCTTCGAAAGCCGTGCAACAAAAAGGAAGAAGCAAATTGATCAGATTTCAAAATTTTGGAAGGCACATAGTTCGCTACACCTTTCAGCGAACTATATGCATGTGAGACACTTGTCACATCTAGTTCGTTGTATGTGGCAGCGAACTTGTTCTTTGTGTCAGCATTAATTGTTTCAGAGTTCGCTATTGACACCAGCGATCTTGGTGTCCATAAAAAACGTACATATCAACACACCGAATTTGCTACACTATCCAGGGAACTTGCCTCCGTGACATATTAAAAAATAACACTGTTAATATGTCATTTAAGAAAATAAGATGAGGAACAGTGGCACTTTGATCACTGTTCCTAAATGCTCTATCATTACAATTGATATATTTTTGATTCAGTATTAGATCAAACATGAAAACTCCAAATCTTTTTTTGTCTTTGACCATATTCATAATATTGAACACAATTCAGTCCTAAAAACATGATACGAATGACACTTAACAGATACTCAATCATAATATCTACAGATGTACAATTTGAGGTCCGATCCCATGGGAGAGTGACCAAAGTGTCACGTTTGGACAAAAAAATTACCAGATTACTACGCCAACAGTAAATTTTGCCAAAATGTCACGCGGCATAATTCGCTACACAGTGTAGCGAAATATGCCACATGTGGCATTTTTGGTTCTGACATGGCATATTTCGCTACACTGTATAGCGAATTACTTGCATGCATAATTCGCTACACTGTGTAGCGAATTATGCCGCATGACATTTTGGCAAAATTTACTGTTGACGTGGCAGTCTGATAATTTTTTTGTCCAAACGTGACACTTTAGTCACTCTCCCAGATCCCATTCTTATAAAAGAGATAAAGCCACCTGTCCATCCTGATGTTGCAACTTGCAATAATGGCTTTGTCTCGTCGTTGGGAGTCCGTTTAACATGCTCTGGGAGCTTCTACTCCCATTCTAAAATTAGAAAAAAAAATAGATTGAGATGAAATTTAGAAAAAAAAGGATATAAATGGAGAAAACTTTCCTTTTTAGTAAAGGATCATGGAATAATATTATGGACTAGGAGCACATTAGAAAAATCCCATAAGAGCAGATGCAAATGGGGTAGATTAGGGCCTATAGCTTAATCTATATTAGGTTAAGTTTGATTTATTATAAATAGTTAAATAGAACAGACCTAGACATAGATTCTTTAAAAAATTTATTTAGAAAGCAGGCCATAGGCTTTTTTATATATGTCGGACCTATAAATTTACAGATCAGTCTATATCA